CAACAATACTTATTTATCAGAATTATAACCTTAAAGAAATCACTGCATATACTCTAAGTTTCCTTTTACAGTAAATTTTATATCCCTACCCCTGTTTCAATTTTTTAAAGATTTGAAAACAAGACTCTAATTATTGCCAGCTTACCCTATGTGCATGTTATCTGACATGAACTGTCCAAAACCTGTTTGAAACTATTCTGATAACAAATTGAAAGCATTTTAGAATACTATAAATGTATTGTTTAGTAGTTAAGCATTCCAACATTCAAGATTATACAAAGTATCCAATCCTGCCTGTGTCTCCAGTCCACATCTTACTGTATGCCTATTTGTCAAAGAAAGTTCACAATTTCTGCCTCAAATGGTCAGTTTAGAATTCTTGTCACAACAGTATCATCCCTAACCATATATCTAACATAAGTTAGTTAATATATGAACTAGAAGTGTTTAAACAAAGCCATATTTGCAAAAGTTGTATTTATGAAGATATCAGTCTGGTGCATAAATTCACTAAAAGTTTGATTGAAATGACTGCTTACATCTGATTTTTGCATAACTTCCTAGCACAGTTATTGTTTACTTTACCAAAGACCTTTAAAATAAACAAATCATAGCATTTACAAGTTAAATTATCTGTTTTATGACTCAGGGGTAGGCATTTTTCTCTGTTTTTTGCCCCTGGGGCCTCACATTTCCTAATTTTTTCCCCTGTTTCTAGCAATGAGGAATATTTACTACATATTTAGGATAGAACACACTATTGTAAGTTTTATTGAGGTATTTTTGTAATTCTAGCTTGTACTTTTTTATGCCGCGGTCACAAAAAAGCACATTTAGGCGTTACGGCTTAATTTTGGGTTATCGACAGGACAAAAACACCCCACCAAAAATATTTAGGAAGGATCAATGAGTTGCAATTTCTGCGAAAAGTAAATAAAAGCACTTCTAAACAATTTAAATTACAAATAGGCATATATTATGAATTTATTTTGAATTCAGGGCTTTAAGTAAACCATGCATACTGTAAACTGTGAATTTATGCTGAGTCATCATAGTTAAGGCCCAGGATTTTCCCAATCTTCATGAAATATTTATAAAACTTCATATTTGAGTTAAATTCTTTAAAATCTCTGAGATCAACCAGATTTTGTGAAATTCTGTATGTTCCATTTTTTTACCCTATATAGGTTGCAATTCTGTAAATACTGACAATGCAATTTCCCATAGGAACTCCCTTTGCGGCTAAAATTGTGACACTTTTACTATGAAGTTTCGTGAAAAATAATATCCCAGAACGGAAAGTTTATATGCACTACTATTTTATTCAAAGGTCAAAATATAGGGCTGTGCGGCATATTTTCAACATTTATATGCCCTGAACTTCTAAGAGTTTAAACTTATACTAAAATTCTATACTACCATTACCTCCATTTTTGGACCTCCTAAGAATTAAAATTTAGCCGCTACCATGTTTTTCAATACTGGTTACATTCCCAAGTGATGTCTCTATGAGATGAAACACAGAGATCATCAATGGGAACCAGTACGTTAACAAATTAACATACCTATGAATATTAAATATCTCCCCAAAAGAGGCGTGGTTTGAGAAACAGCTGTATTTACAAAGTGCAACCTGTAAGCAATGGCTATGGATGTACTCATGTACACTGGATGACTTATATGTGTGGTCATTATAAATTACGGACTTATCTCATTTATATAAAAATAAGAGGATGTGGTATGATTGCAAATGAGACAACTATATATCCACCCGCAAAGTTCAAATGAAGTGGATATACATGTGAGCACTATGTAGTTTCAAACCTACGTACGTGACCTACAGTTGTATATATGAGTATGAAATTAATTAGTTACCTAGGAAAATACTCTTACAACAAAAATCTTATTCACGATGAAGCAATGAAATATCTAAATTTTTTCATATATGTTACCTGTAAAATGGTGCAAATGTGGTTTTTATTTTTTGGCGCAAATGAAATATAAACTAGTGGCGCGAAAGAAAGTTTGAATTTTGTAAAAATTGGTGCAAATGCAGTGCGCCCGATTCAATACGACTATAATCTTGCTCGTGATAATATATTGAAATAAACTGCTTCGCTGAGCGCAGCTGGATACGCCCGCAGAGGTCCAACCCTGAACAGTTGGGGCAAAAATGGACACAATATTCAAGCTTGATACAGGTCTGAATTTGGATTGTAATTGAATATTTGATATATTATAGGTTTCTGAATAAATGTAGTCAGAGAACTTGAAATTGGTCACATGAAAGATTTCTTGCTGTTGTGCAATACACATTGCTGTAGCGTAATACGTAGTAAATCTGTTGTCAGACTATAAACAAATAAAATCTTATAACTCGGAAACATAAAATAGAAAATTTTTAAAAATCAAAAGGAAGCTTACAAAAATAGATATAAACAATTTATCAAAGATTCATAAAAAATGCTGAAATTGTTTTTGAGTTATTGTCCAAAAACTGGAAAATCCCCCTTTTTGTAATGAATAAAACCTAATAAATTGGAAACGTATAGTCTGAAATTTATAAAAATCAAAAGGGAGCTCATGTCGATAGAAATAAACAATTCACCAAAGTTTCTTGCAAATTGGTGAAATTGCTTTTGAGTCATTGTCTGAAAACTGGAAAATCCCCCCTTTTTTAATGAATAAAACCCCAAAACTCGGAAACGGTAAATCCAAAATTTATAAAAAAACGTAAGGGAGCTTACGTCAATAGATATGAACAATTCACAAAAGTTTCTTGCAAATTGGTGATTTTTTTTTTGAGTAATTGTCCGAAAATGGAAAATCCCCCCTTTTTAATGAATAAAACCCCAAAACTCGGAAACGGTAAATTCGAAATTTATAAAAAAACAAAAGAAAGCTCACGTCAATAGATATGAACAATTCACAAAATTTTCATGCAAATTAGTGAAATTGTTTTTGAGTTATTGTCCGAAAACTGGAAAATTCCCCCTTTTTTAATGAATAAAACCCCAAAACTCGGAAATGATAAATGTGAAATTTATACAAAACGAAAGGGAGCTCACGTCAATAGATATAAACAATTCACCAAAGTTTCATGTTTATTGGTTAAAGTGTTTTTGAATTAATGTCCGACATGTTAACGACGGACGGACGGACAGACGGACAGACGGTCAACGGTACACCATAATACGTCCCGTAAACGGGCGTATAAAAAGTGAATTATAAATTGTTTTACTGCCTGTTTATTATTTTACAGATTTGAGTAGTTTGACGTTAAGAATATTCGCTATTCATTTTTAAAGTAACAGGCTTTTTCGAAGACTGTTATATATATTGATAGTATAAAAATAAAGAAATTAAAAAAGCAGAAAATAATGAAGGGTCCGTGTGCTTGTTTTGAGATATAAACCATTGAAAATTTGGCGGGAAATACTTTTCTGTAGATTTTTCTTAAATCTAACCGGTACCTTTTTTCTTTCAAAAACAATGAAATATAGAAAGGAGTTTAAAAGATTTTCAAATATGACAATCTAAATTATATGTAATTAAAATTGTGGAAGGAAAGGTAGGGGTGAGTGGGTAATTTTTTTTAATAGCACTGCATGAATAAAACCTAAGGATTCCAAATGCTTGGCACGACTTCATCAAAACGTCACTTTCTGCGGGACGTCATGCGTATTATTTTCCGTAATAAGAACGATATTTTCTATAATTTACAATTTGATTTTATGAAGTAATGTGGCTTAAATTACGCAAAAGGCAGTTAATGTATAATAGCACTATGAGAAAAATAACAATATAAGAACCTCTCGATTTCCACATAAAAGTAAAAATAAAAAAATATCCCACTTTGAGCAACTTATCCGTAATTTTAAGCATGGCTTGAAATATTAACTAGTCATTCTCGTGGGGATTTATTTCCCCCTTATTTGAACTAAATCACAGCATCAGATTGAATCCAATCAATTTATGACGAAGAATATATCTACTCCAAAAATTTTATAACTTTGCTTTACTTTTTTATAAAAGTGCAACACTCCCCACTTTTCAGCCTCAGTTTTCTCGAAATCAAGCACGGTGACCTATGTTTTATTCTTTTATAACTCGCCCAGGCCAATCAAAATTATGAAAATGACAATGACATGAAACTGTATCGGATGCCCTGCATCTTTAAATACTTTTCTGTTAAATTGCAACCGGTTTAATCATTAAAAAAATTCACGTTAAATAATCCTATGAAAAGTATATTTAATAACTTTTATGTTTAATCAAGAATCACAGACTTATCTTATGCTACGGCTATAATCTGTTGGCATAGGAATTGACCATTTTCTGCTGGTTTTTTTTAATTTGAAATGGGTGGCAGCTTAAACCCACTCGAATTTGAATGTACATTTGAGTAAATAAAAATATAATTAATTGTCTTATGCTTTTTCTGTTGTCTGGTTGTCGTCTCAACGACATATTACAAACCACACACCCTCCCTTTATTTATAATACAAATTCAACAATTCTACATACATGTCAAAAACTTGAAATTAATTAAAGTTGTATCTGAGACAATATATTTTCGCTGGAAGATTTATTTCAACAGAATATTCGTTTTATGCGGTTTTGTCACGATTTCAGTTCTTACTATGTTCGATTATTAATTTCAACCGAACACCCACGATAACAAACAAGTCCGACTTGATTTATTTTCAATAGACTTTCTGCCAAGTAAAGTTTTAAAACTGCATGCATTTCAGTCTGAAGATGAAATTCAATCTCTCCAAAAAAAAGTTGAGAATATTACGCTGCATAAAAAACTTTGCAGTTTAACAGTGAAAAGAAGTTATTTGATAATATGAATTTACGGTAACATTTGATTTAGATATAATATACTTTCAACAAATATGATATTTCGAGAATAATGACCACCCTTTGACAATAATGATAGAACCAAGAGGGTTATTTCCAGTGGGCAATAAACATGTTTCTTATCATCTGATTATAAGTACTATCATGGGGATGCTAATCTTAATGAAACAGTGTGTGTTATATCCTTCTGATTGACCCAAGACACAGTAATAACATGGAAGTATTATATTGAATACCTCTATGGTTATTCTTACGTCTTTAAAGTTGTAGAACTTCCGCGATACACTAATAATCGAGGATTATGCTGTGGCCAGTGGGGGATTATGTCATATCCATATAGGCGCGTGTTTTGTTATCACAACCAGTAAACGAGGTCATTCTGTTGCGTACTTTGGTCAAAGAAAGAGAAAGATGGAGTCCCCTAGAAATGAAAATAAGCTGAATGGAATTTCGTTTTCAAGGAAGAAGAGTCCGAAGCTTACTTATGCCGGAGAGTTCTGGTAAGATATATACTTTTTAATCCATAGAAAATAAGAAGAGAAAAAAATTCATTGTTATTTAAAATATGATTTCTGAATATGAATATGAAAAACCGAGGTTTGCCCAAGTTCATTCAGAATACAAAAATGTTTGTCATATTTTTATGTTATGGTATATGTTAATGAATAAGAAATGGAGGTATACAGTTAATTCGGGATTGTTTTGTCTTAAGTAGCCAAACATTCCCATTTTTATTTAACATTTCTTTATTCAGCCTTGCTGGATCTATGTGATCACTTCGGATTTTGAGATGTTGCAGAATTCTAAGTTACACACATATCATAATACTCATCAAGTTGTCAATACTGGCAAATATTATTCGATTGAAATTTTCATAGTTCTATTGACGAGATTTACTTTTAGTAGAGACCAAGTGTCGAGTTAAAAAAGTGAGTATCGAGTTAAAAAAAAGTGAGTAATAACTCGATACTCACTTTTTGATGGGGAAATTTATTTTAACTTTATTCCTTTGGCATGATTCATTTTATCAAGGATGTATATTAGTATTTTAGTTATATATCCTTGGTTATATTGACCATCAACATGAATAATGACTAACTTAGTTCTTAGGGATAGTAATATGAAACGGATAGGACCACTTGAATAGTAAACATCTCAAACAAAACAGTAGTCAGAATAGTTCGCAAGAAACACCCAATTTAATACTTGGGAACTATATTCCACGAACAAGGGGAATTAATTGTGGTCTGAAGCCTATTAGACACCAAAATGTTGGTATTTCTTATGAAACTTTACATTTACTTAGCATGATATCTTAGTAGCATAAGTGCCAAATTTTATTACTTTCTGAACGTTATTAAAACAGTTTGGAATGTTTTATATAAGTGCATATGTCTGCGGAGAATGCTATTAGCAAAGTTTTTAGACCTCAGTCAATAGATAAAAGAAGATTTGGTATGATTGCCAATGAGACAACTCTCCATCAAAATCACAATTTGTAAAAGTAAACCATTATCTAATTTAAACTAAATAAAAGTTATGGCTACTGGATGTTATAAAGGAAATTGGGCAACATTTATATGAAGAAATTATTTGTTAGGTTATTTATTTGCCTTGATCCAGTAGCCATAACTTTTATTTAGTTTAATTGTTAAAGCTTACTGCCACTTGTGTGCCAGTTTTGTGCAAACTTATATCCCTCTAGTGCTTAAATCAGAAGTGGTCAATATGATAAGTGTACAGATATAATAAGCATTATTGTGGGTAAATTAATACTGAAAAGTTTCTTTATTTCCACTGCCTATCCTTATTGGTTATGTATACATGTACTTCAAAACAACTTAAAAGTAAATTTAGACTTGACACTTTTTAACTTTAAGATATTTTGCTCTTCATATTTTTATACGTGGTTGTACGTTATCTCCCAGGGTCAACTCGTTTTTGGAAAACTTATTGAAAATGCACCATAAGGTACTCTCATTCACTCTGATAATGACCTATATACCCTTATTTTTTTGTATGCACTGTTCTAACTAATTTTTAAGCACTGTTTAAAACTGTGTATAATTTGTATTAAAACAGATGAATCACCAAAGAAAAGAAAAACTCAAAGTTCTAATAGTGGCCTGGGTGCAGTGTATTCGAATTATCAACAGTGCTCCTCAAATAAAGAAAATAAAAGAAGAAGGTGAGGTTATAAATTTGTCAAATTTCCTTTTTATAATATCAATTTATCACCGTTAACAGTCAGGGGAATTACTTAAATGAGTGATATCTTAAAATCACTGGTTCAGTAACATTTGAATGTTATGTAACTTTAGATCTATACTAACGATCCAGGGACTAATCACGTTTGCTAAAATTATCAGAACCAACATCTGTGTTTAAAGAATGACCGGTCATGTCAGGTGATGACCTTGTACTGAATCTAGGATAATGACATGAAAATCACTTGTATAAATATATCATAATTCTATTTTATTTTAAAGAATCATTTTAAAGAGGTTTCTTTTTTTTTTTCAATTTACTCACAATAAGATATAATATAAACCTGTATGTTTAAAATTTTAGTAAAACTACAAAATACAAAATACAAAATTATTTTTTTATCAAGGCTTCAGACCCCAATTAAGTTGATAATTTTTGCTATTTATAAGTGATTATTTCAAAAATTCCCCTGACTGTTTAAACTTAGTAATACTATTAAAAAAAATCCCAGACGATACAGTTTGAATATAGATATGTAAGACAAGTATCCAATAGAGACCAACTGAGGTTGATGTTAGAAACTTTATGTGTGTGTGAAAAACTTTCATATTCTTTTTAATAGATTTCTAGTTTTTATACGACCGCAAAAAAATTTTGTGGTCGTATATTGGTATGACGTTGGCGTCGTCGTCGTCGTCGTCGTCGTCATCGTCGTCGTCGTCCGAAGACACATTGGTTTTCGCACTCTAACTTTAGTTTGAGTGAATGGATCTCTATTAAATTTTACCATAAGGTTCAATACCACAAAAGGAAGGTGGGGATTGATTTTGGGGGTTATGGTACCAACAGTTAAGGAATAAGGGGCCAAAAAGGGGCCAAAAATAAGCATTTTTGTAACTTCCAGACATAACTTGTGTGTTAGTGTATGGATCTCTCTGACATTGTACCACAAGGTTCCATATCACAAAGGGAATGCTGGGATTGATTTTGGGGGTAATTGCCTCCAAATTTAAGAAATTAGGGGCAAAAAAGGGGCAAAAAACAAGCATTTTTCTAGTTTCATGACAATAACTTGTGTGTAAGTGTATGGATCTCTCTGACATTGTACCACAAGGTTCCATATCACAAAGGGAATGCTGGGATTGATTTTGGGGGTAATTGCCTCAAAATTTTAGGAATTAGTTTCATGACAATAACTTGTGTGTAAGTGTATTGATCTTTATGAAATTGTACTTCAAGGTTCCATATCACAAAGGAAAAGCTGGAATTGAGTTTATGGGTAATTACCCTAAACGTTTAGGAATAAGGGGCCAAAAAGGGGCCAAAAATAAGCCTTTTAGTTTCCAGATAATAACTTGTGTTCAAGTGTATGGATCTCTCTGAAATTGTACTGCAAGGTACCATACCACAAAGGGAAGGCTGGGATTGATTTTGGGGGTAATTGCCTCAAAATTTTAGGAATTAGGGGCCATAAAGGGGCAAAAAAACAAGCATTTTTCTAGTTTCAGGATAATAACTTGTGTGTAAGTGTATTGATCTTTATGAAATTGTACTACAAGGTTCCATATCACAAAGGGAAAGCTGGGTTTGAGTTTGGGTGTAATTGCGCTAAACGTTTAGGAATTTGGGGCCAAAAGGGCCAAAAAAACAAGCATTTTTCTAGTTTCTAGACAATAACTTGTGTTCAAGTGTATAGATCTCTCTGAAATTGTACTGCAAGGTACCATACCACAAAGGGAAGGCTGGGATTGAGTTTGGGGGTGATGAATCATAAGGGGGTTCAAAAGATTTTGGGGGGGATTTTTTTTTTCATTTTTTTTCTTTAAAATTTTCCATTTTAAATTGGTTATTTCTGATTTATATATAAAAGCAAATAATAATGATATGGTTTGAATAGGTAAATTAAAAAAATTTAAGTTCTTAGACCACATTCATTCTGTGTCAGAAACCTATGCTGTGTCAAATATTTAATTACAATCCAAATTCAGTGCTGTATCAAGCTTGAATGTTGTGTCCATACTTGCCCCAACTGTTCAGGGTTTGACCTCTGCGGTCGTATCAAGCTGCGCCCCAGCGGAGCATTTTATTATATATCTATTTTGAAAAAAAATCAAGCCTGTAGTTCAGTAGTTGTCGTTGGTTCACAGCTGTCATATTTGTTTTTCGTAAATTGTTTTGTTATAAATTAGGCCGTTAGTTATGTCAATTGAATAGCTTTATATTTTCATGTCGGTCCTTTAATAGCCGACTATTACGGTACTATATAGCCATACAGTATGGGTTTTTCTCATTGTTGAAGGCCGTACAGTTACCTATAATTGCCTACATCCACTTTATTTGAACTTTGGTAGATAGTTGTCATATTTGCAATCATACCACATCTCCTTATTTTTTAAACAATCATAGACACACAAAAAGTAAACAAATGCATGTTATGTTCTTCTTGTATATTTTATGATGATATGATACTAAATTCCTAATCTTGATTTTCATATAATTGAGGTCTGGAACAGGCATGTCAGTAACTGCTAGTAGTCCTTTGTTAATTGCTGTATCATTGTCCTTTTGTTTAGTTTCTTCTGTTACCTATTCTAACATCGGATCTAGACTTCTTAAAAATTGAGTGTTTCTTAACTTTATCATCAAATTTAAAGGGTTTCCAGCATTTAAATTAGATTTAAAAATACCTTTCCAGAGCTTCTGGTAAAGCGATCCTTATCGATATACCAGTTTGTTGTAAATCATTTCAAGTAGTACAGTTAGAAATTTATTGTGATCCAACAATTAATATACCACTTACATTGACTATATTTTTCCCCGGTGCAACGCGTTGCGGGGGACATAGAAATATTGGCGTCCGTCCTTCCGTCCCATCTACTAAGCGCTGTCACGTGTACAATTCTTGCCAGATTTTTATGAGACTTATGTCATAGTTTTAAATAAGCAATTTCGTGAACGAATTTAAAAAGCCGTGCCTTTCATTTATTTTTAAAGAGCTAGTTATGCCCCTTAGAAATATTAATTATGGCGAAAATTGCCAAATGAATGCTAGAATGTGAACAGTTCTTGCCAGAGTTTTGAAAAAAATTATACTATAGGTAAATATTAGCAATGTTTTGGACGAGTTCGAAAATCAGTGCCAATCAATTGCCCTTGGAAATATTAATCATATGGAAAATTGCATTGTTAGCGCTCTCATTTGTTCAATTCTTGGCAGAATTTTATGAAACTTATATCAAAGGTTTATACCAGCAATATGTTTAAGATATCAAGTATGAATATTACATGAATTAGGTCAATATTCTTTAAAAAACGTCTTTTGAAATGGCACATGTGACATCTTGAAAGAAGTAGGATCAAGAAGTCCTATATTTGGTCCTTATGTCAAATTTTTCAATATTCAATCCAAGACTTATATTCATATCTTAAAAAGACTACATATTTTTTTTCTCGAAAAATTTTAGTTTAAAAAAATGAATTCTTAATACATGCATTGTAGCCAGATTGCTTGTATTTATACATTTATAGGCCTTTTTATCTGAATAATATTGGTCACATACTAAGAGTAATAAAAATTTATCAAATTATATAAATGGTTCAAATTCACACTATTACAAAACATATGGTTGTCCATTCATGCTGCCAATACCTTTGTAAACACCCTGTTGGAATTAGTCAAAAATTGTTTATTCAAAATTAATGTTTTTCTTCATAAGAGTGTATAACTTTGATGGATTGTGATGACACTGACCGAAAAATAGTAGTTTTTAATTTGGCATTTTCTCAATTTAAAAGGAAAATTAAGAATTTAAGTAAAATATTCTGCCAAAATATAAGTCCCTTATCTTGTACCATGTCCTTTGTCTGATGCTATTCAACAAATCCGGCTAACTGTTGAACATATAGCAATAATTAAAATCATCAACTGTTTCTGGTATTTGATGTAATTAAACTATTAAATTTTAAAATTAAAAAAAATATATGCTTTTATGAAATAAGGTGTTTTTACAAGTAACGTAATTCAAAAAAAATGAAGCAACATGTACCGTTACTCTGAATAGAAATGCATTTATAAAGAATGGTATTATCCTCACTATCTAAATCATCTTTTTTTTTCGGAAATAGATCATTAGAATAATTTGTTTTCTTTTTTAGATTTTACTTTCTATGAGTACCCACAGTATCTTCAAGCAGAACAATGGATATTGATCAGACCAGACAGTCTGGAGAATTTACCATGGATAGAAGTAACAAAAGTGACAGCAACACATTCGATTGGTTTAATGGATATTTTGGGCAGGAGTAGCAGACTGGTACATTGATTCCAAAATCTTGAACAAACAACAACTGAACAAATTCTTGTCTCTTTTAAGTGGGATAATGTTAATCTTTAAAAAATGCCAGCACAATTGAAATTAATATGGGATAGTTGAAAGAAGAAATTTCAAAATGATACATATTATCACAATGTTGTATTTAAATTAGACAACCTCTATTTTTGTGAAACAGTTTTTTTTTAAACTTTAAATACTGTGATGATCTACAAAACATTATTAAAAGATGAACATGCAGGTCTCAAGTGTGATCCAGTTTTTAACCGCTTTTCGCTTGAAAAAAAAATCAAGCTTTTTTAAATTTATGAAGTGACAACAATTGTTTCTACTGGATTTACATTGAATAAATAATATTATCCAGACATTAAAATATTTTCATTTTTTCGCAATGTTTTTATCAATTTTTTTTAACCTTTCTAAGTGAGAAAGTCAGACTTCTTGATGCTTCTAGTTGTTACACACTACATTTAAAACATTGTCACATTTCATATGATATATTCTGGCTTTCATTGTATTTTGTGTTTTTTTGTTTTTTGGTGAAATTGCAAATTGTGTTCTTACCAATGAAACTTAACAGTTAATTGTGCTTGATTTTTTTTTTCTTAAACAATGAAAAACCCTTTTAATTAAAAATTAATATGTTAAGGTGAAGTTCATCTCAAAGGTTGCTTTTATTCATTTTCATAAAATTATAAATAATTAAAAAAAAAATTTGGAAAGTTTGGAACTATTTGAATTGATTACCATTGAGACAGCTTTCCACGAAAGTTCAAATGATGTAACCGTAGGCATACGACCTTCAACGACATGAGAAAAAGCCATACTGTATAGTCATCTATAAAAGACCCCGACATTAAACACCAATTCAATTGAGAAGAATAACGGCCTAATTTATTACAATTTATGAAAAACAATATGACAGACATGAACCAACAACAACCACTGAACAACACGGCTTTTTTAAATTCGTTCACGAAATTGCTTATTTAAAACTATGACATAATTTTGATGGCAAGTATTAGTGACCAATTAATATATACAGAGATATGAATCACCTGTGTGCAATTTTGATGGATATATATTATGCAAATGTTGAAATTTAAATTACAATACTTAAATGACTAATTACCCATTTTTCATCAGTATTCTGATATACTAAAGTATAGAAATTGACCCTATGTAAAAGTTTCAAAGTCAATGAATCATGACTGGGGGAGGGAAAATAATCATTATGGAGATGAAATGTGCAAAATCTAGTACAACTGCATGCACATCTAATGTAATAACCGTTAATGTTCAGCCTTAAACTGACCAAATCACAAACATAAACCTGTAAACTAACTATGCATTTTCGAAATCAATAGACAGTGATTGGGGAGGGATAATCGCCATGGAAATAATTTCCAGTGTCATTTTATAAATGGTTACTAGAGTGACATCCCTTAATTATTCCCCTTCTGACTGAACTAAACAGCAATACACATTGCTATGAGTTGATGCTCTAGTGAATATAAATGTGTAAACCTAATTTTGTGACTGAATTCAGTCATAATATTTTTTTTACTGCTGCAGAACTGGTCTTTTCAACAAATATTTCCTGAATTTGTATTGACTGAATTCAGTCATCTGTATTATAGATGTGTATACTATGTAATCACACTTGGTGTAATTTAAGTCTTAGAAAACACTCTAATTTAGTACAATTTCTTGTAGCTTCTATCAAATGCTGTGTGACTGAATTCAGTCAACATTTTGTGAAAATAATGAACAGGATAAAGAGTTAATTTCATGTAGCTGTTATCCTGTTATATGTTGCTTGTATTAATCTATAATCCGAATTCTGTTTCATCTGAATTAACAGGAATAGGTATTAGTTAAGAAGCAACAAGTACAAATGTATTTCATAGATATTTTACGAATAAAATGGTAATGTTACTTTCTATTGTACTTATTGAATTATGTTATATGAAGATGCAATCAGGTGACTGAATTCAGTCACTCAAAAAATTATCACCGTACAATGCTATTTTTTTTTTTGTAAGTTGATCATATTAATGGGGTCATTAATATGAATATATTCTGTGTTGACGTTTTAATCCATTTTAAATAAAATGCGCATTGCATACAATGTTGAATGTTAAAAGGTATTCTATAATGAATAATATATCTACTAAGTTCAACCCTTGAATTTTGACAAATCAGAAAATTGACAAGTTGAACCAGACGGTGTTTATTGCAATCGGACCTTCATTTTTGTTACTAGCTACGCCCGACGGACCTTCGATTTGAAAGAAAATAAAAATCAACTTTGCCAACCCTTTTAACAATCAGTATCGTAATTTCAAAGCCATATAACTATTGACATGGTATACCCCTCGAGAGCGTACTTCAAACCATTTTAAATGTCGGCAAAATAAGTTTGTTTACCCATTCAGGGGTTCAAATTAGCGGTGGTCTGAGGTCCGTGACCTTCCACTATTGCAATCGGACTTTCATTTTTGTTACTAGCTACGCCCGACGGACCTTCGATTTGAAAGAAAATAAAAATCAACTTTGCCAACCCTTTTAACAATCAGTATCGTAATTTCAAAGCCATATTACTATTGACATCGAGAGCGTACTTCAAACCATTTTAAATGTCGGCAAAATAAGTTTGTTTACCCATTAGAAGTGATGAAAGTTGCCTTAAGTAAATTTGTAATTCATTCAGTGCATTAAATACGTCATATTCCCTTCCAAATAGCGTTTCAGACATCGTTTAATTTTGTTTGTAAATTTTCTCGTCCGTCATTGAAATATTTGTACAAACTACTGGTCGTATTCGGGAAAGGACCAGCTATGAATGACATCCGGATTCTAAGGATAATGACTACGGACCCATGAATGGCACATCTGACAGAAGAATATTGACCCCAAAGCGGAAAATTAAGCATTGCACGCTTTATTTTCATTTTTGATGTAAACAAAGTTCTTTCTTTATTAGTGCTAGCTATTTAGTTAGTAGTTTCTGACAAGAGAGGAACTAATATAATTGTGTAACATATGATGAACTTACACAGCCAGGGGCGAGTCCAGGTGAGGGCGTAATGGGCGTACGCACCCCCCCCCCTTTAAAAAAAAACCTATCGTAATCTGCTAATCTTGTTACATTAGTGCACTTCACAATTATTTTATGTTTTTTTAGCAAAAAAGTTCCAAAAAGATTTGATTCAAATATCATAGAAACGCCCCTGACAGCTATGAATTTGAACTGTTACTTTAATTGTATACTCGGTTATGACTTGAACAGTATAAAAAAGATACATATAGCCCTTTATAGAAGTCACTTCTCCCTATGATCTGAAGTAGTGTAAGCCCTGAGATAATGGTATAATTACAAATAATTGAGACAACACACCCACTCACAGTGACACCCTCCCCAATACCAAAAAAAAAAAAAGATTATTTGAGTTCATAATATACTTGTAAGACAAGTTTATTATTATACATGTTATACCACAGTGACACTGACAGTTTAGTGCTACATTTATATGCTTGTAAACTTAACAAAATATTGCAGGCAGTTCAAATATAATTAAACAAGCTAACCTAAGACAAAAAACATATTAATTTTGTATCTTACTGAGTTATGAAAAATTTCAAATAAAGTAGGACCTGGGATTTAGGTTGTGGACCTTTCAGTTTGGAGTGTCAAAGGTCCTGGACCTTCCAGTACCAAATGTTAATTTGAACCCCTGAAATTATAATTAGCAAAGATGTAAAGCACAAAATATCTACAAGCCATGTTTCGTTTATTTTGGTAAAGTAGTTTTAGAGAAGATGATATTTGTAAAAGTTAATGAACAACGAACGACAGACGACAGACGACAGATGCTAAGTGATGGCAAAAGTCACACTGCCTCTTTGAGACAGGTGAGCTTAAAATCTAATATTGTCAAGATTGAGATCTATTTTTTTTTTATAAAATCTACAGTTGCTCAGCTTAGTAAATTTTCACAGTATTTTAGTATTGTTATACTACAATATACTTTGTTTGTGTAGTAAACTATTAAGCATTCTTCACTCAATTCTAAGGTATTAAAACCTGTAAATCCAGAGGCATGTGATTTGCAGACACAACCATTGCATTTATGAAAGAGCTAAGCCTCACTGCATAGAAAACTAAAACGCTGGGTTTGCTTCCTAACTGACCATAACTATTGTCCGTGTAACCGCCTTTGTGGTCTCACGGTAGGGAGCTCGCCTCGAGTGTGGGAGATCGTGGGATAGGTCCCCGGTCAGGTCTACCCACAGACTTAAAAACAATATATAGTGTTTCTCCTCTAAACAAATAGCATCTAGTAAGAGCAATGTCTTTTTATGTCGTTGTCAGAATGATTTAATTGGGTTGGGTGGCTGTTACCTTGTGAATCAGCATTTTAAAATTCCGCCACTGACAGCTTGTCGGTCAAATACACAGCAGGGCCCACATTCATATCAAATTAACATGTTCCCCATCCTGATCGATATGCATGTAATAATTGCCACTGCACGTTAAACAACAATCCATCATAATCAATTTTACTGTACGATTAAAACGTGTGTCTGAAATAATTTTCATCGGGTACTCAAGAGCTTGACCAAAAGTTTGGAAAACTAAACATTAAAACGTTGGAGAACATAATAACCAAAACGACCGTAACAGAGTTCCAAACAACTCGTATAAGGTCATCTTTGCCAAAGAGAGTTACAACATTAGATTAAACACAATAACATTTTATAGACTTGACATTTACGGACAAGATGTTTCCTTAAAATCAAGCTGGCTGCTGGGCAGGCGGAAATATCGGGAACTTATCATTCACCAGTAGACCTTTCCACATATAATGACTTTCACGTGCTCTTTGCTCATCCCTAAGGAACCTCAAAATTTATGAAAAATACTATTGCTGTTAAATACTAGGATGACATTTATATACCAAAACTTACCCAGCCATAATTGTTTGTCTCTGCCATAATTGTATGTATGATAATACAGATGATAAATTCAATTTGAGGGGAATACATAATACCATTAACCTTACAAAACATGCCGACAAACTTGATGTTTCTATGCATATGTCGACCTACAAAGCCAGAAAAATGGATATTTCGCGATCGTCAAATCCCTAACAACTCTTTAAATACAGTACGTTACATATTATCATGCATTAGAATTATTGTGAATATTTTATTGTTGTAAAGCAGAAAAAAATCATAACGTTGGACAAGACTTTAGAAATCTGGGTAAGCATATGTATACATCGGCAACGTTTTGCTCGGCAACGTTTTGCTACGTGAATAATGATAACTAGTAGTCTTTACCGCTCTTCTGAAAAAATCAATAACTCGTATACAGTCACGGCCGGTTTGATAGAAGTTGAATTAAAAACGTGTAGGAGGCGTAGGATGCCATGCTCTGTGAACGAGGACACTTAAACGCAACTCTGGAAAAGAGCGACAGTTTTACTTTGCGGGAGGTATAAATACTGTCACATCCAGTCAGGAAGGAATTGTTAAATCAAATAAATATATAGAAGTATGTCATGCTCTGTCGACATTCTAGGGACCTTAAAACAAATCTGCATGATGAGTTAATCCATATGAACTGTGTATGGCATGTATAAATACACAGTCAGGTCGCGAGTCAAAACAAAAACTTGTATGAGACTAAGGTATGCCATACACTATGGACGTGCCAGAGGCCTAACATTTATACTTGCTGCGGAGATTCTGTTTCACTGTTTGGGATGAATAAATCATGTCTGATAGGGGCTGCTAACTCCAAAATTCATAATTAATTGGAACTGAAATGAAAGCCATACAATTTGAATGTTTGACCTGGTCGATAAACCTGACTCAACCTACGCTTTCATTTGTAAAATGACTGTACCAGGTCAAGAATATGACAGTCAATTACAGATTGCTCAAGTAATTATAAATATTCAAATATACCTCGATCTGGTCCTTTCATTTAGCTATTATTGTCAACGCAGAATGTGACTGAGGAATTTATATACAAGTACTTGTTTAGGAAAACGCGACTGTTTCCACTACTGGGACATGTGAACTGCTTAACCCTTTTAGAGAACATAAGTTCACACTGGGGTTTTGTAGGGGTTCAATCGTTAGTTTTCTGTGGAGTGTGTTTTGGGGATTTTCTTTGTCTTTTTTTCCCTTTCTTTTGACTATGATATTGACTTATTGTTTTTGATTGCCCTTTACTTTTAATTCAGCACATTTGCTAATTGCTATTTTTAATCTGAAATTAATTCGGTTGAAGGTCGGATTCTATTCGGTCATTTGATATAAAGGTAACTTCACACATAAACATCATGGACATCTAGAGTCAACATAAGGTTTTTAACAGTAATAAGACATTATGCCAAAGCTCTAAATCCAACCGAGTTAATTGATTGATTGATTGATTGTTGGTTGCTTAACGTCCAGTGGCAAATATTTCATGCATGTTCAGGACGAGAACAAATTAACGATAAATACAATAGGTAGGTCCTGTAATAGAGGCTGTCCGGGAAGATGGTGGGGGAAATTTAGACTGCCACTGGAAAATGAGGGTATATTGGATAGGGACAGAATTTTTGCATTACAACAGGCCACCAACGGACCCTTCAAAGAGTTGTAACAACAGTTCTTAACGTGCAGAGAGCGTAGCAATCTTTCTACACGAGGCATCGGATTTAACGTCCCCATTCATCCCGCACAGCCAAACGGACGCCCCACTATGACAAGGTTTTTACTGCCGGTCGAAAGAAGACCTATAGTGATCATATTTCTATTCCCCTGTCAACCCTTTATGGGTGGGGTGGGGGTGGGGGGGGGGGGGGTAATTGAAATTTTACAAAGACTATAAATGATTTGTCATTGATACCAAATTCAGTACAATACAAAAACACCATGGCATAACAGACGAAACTTGTTCGCAATAGTTTGTCAGTTACTGGCTATATGTCAGTTGTTTACATCCCTTGATTGCCATGAAACTATATACAGATGCATAGCAATTAGTTTAGTGCGGGTCTTGTAAATTAAGTATATGCAAGCATTCTTACTTGAATTTATTAGTAAGGCACTTAAATGATTTTCACATATTGAACACAAAATATAACGCTATATACATTTATATAAACTGTTATGTCAATTGGTTCTTTCTACAAATGAAACAGCAAATTTTTGCTGCAACTTGTCGCATCTTTTTGTCCATCAACCACAAATATGGCCTTACAATTGATGGTACAAGACACAACATATAAAGATAATGCGGTACACTATACATCGTGTCTTCATTAAGACAATCAGGAGAACAGAAGTGAAGAACGCAGTTTGGTATTGTACAGAAAACTGTGACGATGGTGATGATGATTACTACCATACCCGATGACAAGTTAGCGTTACATGAACTACGTTCATTGCTACCACGCTTAATATATGTATCGTCCATGGCTTCAGAGGTGTTCGTGGGATGTCTTCGTTTTCGTCTGCTGATTAATGTTATTGATAAAATAATAATAAATGGCAGGAAAATAGTATTGTGCATAACGTCTAAAATTGATACGGCTATGATTTTGTGTGATTCATAATCTTGTGAATACCGACAAAATGTATAATCTTTTTTGTCCGTGTCTGTTAGGTTTGTAATTATGACAATATCGTTTGAAACGAGAACTGGCACGGCAACTAGGTATGTGGCAACGAATGGCAACGTCAGCAGGAAAACATGAATGCAGGACAGCGCCACCTTGTGCTGAATAGTCTCCTTTATGATTCGGTCGGAAATTAAGGCACACAGTGAAAAGGAGATGAAAATAAGATGAGTCGCCGAAATATATTTTGTAATGTAGCAGAATACATCACCATAGTACCACGCACGCCTATTGTCCTTTAATTCAAGAACAGCAAATGCCAAAACAACTCCAAAGATTATATCACCGATTGAGCATATTAAGATTTTTAAATAAAAAAGACTACAGCGCAGTCTAGTGCAAATTATCATCGATAAAGTCAACAGATTGGAAGTAATTATCAGTGAGTCTATTATACTGTAGCAAATGACTAAAACCATCGTGGCTCTTTTTAAAGATATTGAAGGATCTTCTTCCTCTTCGGTGTCTTCTTTTCCGAATAGTTTCTCAAGAGGATTTCCGAAATTTCCCCAGCCAAAACTCCACTCAGAGCTTTCAGTTGTACTCATTTTTATCAAAAGAATCTAAAATAAAAATATAAATTCGATACAAAATGCCAATTTTATTCAATCGATTATCCATTGAATGTTATCAATTTCAGACTTAGTAACATTTTTTTTTCGACTTCAGTTCTAGCTGATTCTGATGCAATATATTTTTGCGATTTTTTTATTTTGGATGTATATTCACAAGTGAAGCTTAAATAAGTTTGACAAGTGTGCATCGATTATTCGCGTTATTTATACACTCGAAAATGCGCGAAAAGAAATCGCTCTGGAAAATTAGTTGGCTAACAGTAAACAATAAATTACTAATGTATGGTATGCAACATGATGATTGACGGAAATGTTGGACTTAGGGAGCAACCGTTTAACTTCAAGGGGGGCAATTGTTTTTTTGTCTGAGTCAGAAATTTTTTTTCGCACAAAGCGCGAACATTTTTTTTAGTTTTTCAACGCTATATCAATCAAATTTTTTTTTTTCAAAATTTAACACAATAAGGTATGGGGAAAATCTGGATTCAGGGATTCAGAATAAATTTTTTGGTCATCTGCTTGACCACACAATATTTTTTTTCATCATATTGGGGATGAGAATATTTTTTAGGAAAAAACCATAACCCCCCTCCTTGACGTTAAATGGTCGTTCCCTTACACTAGAAAAAGAAATAAGCGAGATAACTAAAGGACAGACATTTGACTTGTTATACATGAAGGTCACTCCAAAGAGTTATTACAAGGGTTCTTTCGCACAAATCAAAACATGGAGAGTGTGATATTCTCCAAACGCAGTGCATACAATTGAGCATGCCTATTACGATAGTAAGCGACTGTGTATTTATGAATCCCATACAACCAATCATACGCTCCACGTTTGACGTATACTGTATACGGTAAACGACAATTGTTAGATATATCTGAAGTAAACAGCTTAAAGGAGTTATAGTAATACCCATATAAAAGAGGCGGAAGATACAAAAGGAGGTTCAAACTGACAAGTGATGACACATTGATAACGTCATGAAAAATACCAAACTAAATCGACGAAAATTTAGACAACTGTTAACAAAACACAACCATGAAATCTAAGTACTGAGCCCCACTATAAAATCGGGGTTATCTCAGACGCTCTGTAAGGGTAAGCAAATACTGCTCCACATGTGGCACCCGCATAGAAAATTGTCATTCATATCGGTAAACAATGATAGCATGGTGGTTAAGAAGTTTAAACTATTGTCCTCACCAAACTTGTCTGTTTTACAAAGGGGTATTGTACATGGAGCATTTCATATTTAGCCGTTATTATACCTTCAGGATACTTCGTTGACTTTTTATTTGTATGAATAAAAAGGAAGCATAAGGTATACGTTAATGAGACCTAACTACAAAATTAACCAAAAACATCTTAAAGGCAACATACAGTCTTCAATAATAGACAAGTGTCTATGCAATAAGACAAGCTCTTAGACTAAATCGCCCCGAGTCTATAAAAGTCGTGCATGAATGAATCAAACAAAAACAATCAAAGATCTAACGTTACCTACTAAATTTTCCAAATAACAGAAACATTTAAGATAAGACACTGACGATGTTTCTGATTTTGGACAGTCACAAGAATATACGGCGGTGTAAACCATTTTTCTGAGATTTTACCTCTTTTTAGTCCCAACCAGTGGAAGAAGACGTACATGAAATAACTTCCATTTTCCATAATTCAGCTTATTTCTAACAAAATGGTTTTAAGATAATAATAAACGACAAAAGTGTTTTGTAATTCATTTTTTCTGGCACTCTTCTCCTACACCAGAACATTTTAAATCAGCAGTTTGATGATGACAAGTGCAATACAATTATCTTGTAAAGTTTGCTTTGCCATCTTTAATTTCGGAAGCTTTTGAAATGATATTAATTTTTTTTCTCAATATTACCATAATTTAAAAACCAGAAGAACAACACTAAAATCTAAAGCAAGAGCAACACGAACCCCTTTTTAACAAAACACTTTTTTATCTTAAAGTTCTGATTACGAAAATAAAGTACATAAACCTGTTCTCTGAAGAAACATACTTGGCAATTTCTCAAAAATGTTAATTTGCTGGTAACATATCTATATTACCTAATGTTTACTTCTTTGCGGAAACCTGATAATAAGTCATGTCTTGATTTTGATTGAAGACTTTGCACTATGGCTGAATTTGTCAGTAGCAGTCTGATTAAGGTTCCGGTTAACTGTTTGAAAATACATAGAAGATGAACAATCTAACGCTGAATTTGACTTATGACTAAACTGATTGAAACTTAACAGTGCGAGTTATCTTAATATTTCTATTACTAATACTGTTTTAGAAAATTCTACTTGCAGATTTTGAGTTCACAAATAAATATAAAAACGGTTTGCGTTCCAGGCAACAAACTGGAAATTATAGACATATCCCTTACATTTCCCTAAACATAACCCTAACATAAAAGATGAGTTCAGCTTTAGGAAACAATCCACCAAACTTTAAAGATAAACCCTAAAAGTTTACCCTAGATGAATTTGTCTATTTTCGTTTTGGGTCCCGTTCCTGGTTTTTCATATAACTCCTAACGTCTCTACGTATTTACCCATCCCTGGCTTTCAAATGTTTATGTTCGAGCGTTCCTGGTGACGGTAAATCCAGGAAAGCGCTACAGACATACGCAATTATAGTGTTGTTTTCGTTTACTAGAACTGGGTCGATAACCTATTGGTGGACTGTTAGTCTTCGAAGGTAGCTCAATAGTCCGTGCTTCTGTTCTAACATGATTTATTACATATTTTTCTTCTCTAAAATTCCTCATTGATAAATTGAGAGAATATTAAAAATACTAAGATCCAACTCCCTCAGGCAAAGTTGACCTCATATGAATTTTGCTATTCTGTTTTATTATAAATAAAATAAATATAACAACATAGTAAAAGTGTAGTATCTTTGAAATACACATAAAAAAGAAATATTTACTGGCATTTATGTACCACTTCAAGTAAACAAAACAATCTACATGCTTATACATGTCAGTTTGGTGTTCAACTGTTCATGACCTTAAATACTGTATAATAATAGAACCATTGTTATTACCTCTTCTTTCTAAGGAAAAAAGGTAAAAAAAAAAGATACCAAGGGTACAATCAAAAACCAAAAGTCGAATAAAAACAGACAACAATGGAAAAAAGAAAAGGACAAACATACAAACTTCAGTTAACAAAACACTACATAGAAAACAAAAGACTCAACGATACGAACCACACCCAAAACCAGGGGATGATCTCAGGTGCTCCGGAAAGGTAAGCAAATCCTGCTCCACATGTGTGTCACCTGCCGTATTACGAGTGGCAGGTACAAAGTCGGTGATAAGTCTCAGTGATGTCACAATCGAAAAAGAGTTCCAGACTCTGTGGACTAAAAAGAGTTCCAGACTCTGTGGACTAAAAAAAGTGCCAGACTCTGTGGACTAAAAAGAGTGCCAGGCTCTGTGGACTAAAAAGAGTGCCAGGCTCTGTGGACTAAACAAAGTGCGACTCTGTGAACTAAAAAGAAAAATAACAGTCCACAAAACAACAAGGAGAAAATCAAAGACAGAACAACATCAATCCCATTAAAATCGAGGGTGAACTAAGGTGCCCCGGAAGGGTAAGCAACCTCTGCACAAATAGTGGCAACAATCATGCTACTCATTTAAAGTCAAATTTCGGTGATAAGTCGCATTAAGTAATGACACAATCGAGGGAAAAATAAATGTACGAGGTACAAAGGTTGATCTACACAGGCCGATCCCCGGATAATGACCATTCAGTTGTAAAAACTCATCGTACAAAGGTTCATCTACACAGGCCGATCCCGGATAATGACCATTCAGTTGTAAAAACTCCTCGTACAAAGGTTGATCTACACAGGCCGATCCCCGGATAATGACCATTCAGTTGTAAAAACTCCTCGTACAAAGGTTGATCTACACAGGCCGATCCCCGGATAATGACCATTCAGTTGTAAAAACTCCTCGTACAAAGGTTCATCTACACAGGCCGATCCCCGGATAATGACCATTCAGTTGTAAAAACTCCTCGTACAAAGGTTCATCTACACAGGCCGATCCCCGGATAATGACCATTCAGTTGTAAAAACTCACCAAAGATACTGAGGGTTATAATGTGTTATGCTAGACGTGCGCTTCGTCGACATTAGACTCATCAGTGGCGCTTAAATCAAAACAGTCTGCTTGACTCGTGTAGGGAGAGCGACACGCTTTAAGCACGTTAAATAACCGGTCTAGCTTACAGTAATTAGTTTGGGTCCTTAGGTGCGTTGCAAGGCAATGTTATAGTTCATACCCAACATAACCTCTTTTTCCAGGGGCAGTCTGAATTTCCTGCACTTAATCTCGGTAGACCAGATTTACAGAACCAATCTATTGAATTTGTTGTGTTTTTGATTTTTTGTTTTTTTTTGTTTTGAATATACATAAAAAGATTTCCACTAGACGTTAAATACTAGTAACCAACGATGAAACAATCCATCATGTGCTGTCTGTCGGTCTGTCGAAACGTACGTTACCATTTAGATTTGAATATAAAGTCAATAAAATCATTCATTGAGAATAAGAAATTGTTGATTAGTTAAACTGAAAATTCCTTTTATTTCTATCAGAGATGGATGTAAAATACCTAAGTTCAAGCAAAAAAAAAAAAAAAAAAAAAAAAAAATGCGTATAAAATAAGACATTGCAAGATGTCTCTTCAGTGAACTTTTAGGCCACAATAAAAATCAAAAACCTAATACAAACGTTGAAATGCTTATCAAACCAAAAACGACCTTAAAAATAGTCATATCCGGACAAAGAATCAGAACTTTGCATGAGGGAACTATATTCCTAAATTTCAAAAGATTTCCAAAATTTTATTACAGCAAATTTTAATCAATCAATATACGTACTTACATGTCAGTGCTGTCATATAAAGTACTGGCTACTGGGCTGGTGATAACTAACGACCCAGTGGTAGCAATAACATTAACTATTAAATATTTACTGCACCAGTATTAACACGACTTATAATTTGATGCCATATGTCATGTATGTGGAGCAGGATCTGCTTATCCTTCCGGAGCACCTGAGGTCACCCCTATCATTGGGCTCAGTCTATAGATTTCTATGATGTGCTTTGTATACTGTTGTTTGTCATTTGGTCTTTTTCGTTTTTACCATTGCGTTGTCAGTTTATTTTCGACTTAATTGTGAGTTTGAATGTCCCTTTGGTATCTTTTGCCTCTCTTGATTAATTTGTAGTTCAAATAAAACATACAGTTGCAAGATGCATAGATGCCCTACCTAATTTTAGATCACATACAGTGGAAACTATGATTTAAATGTGCATATATTACACACAAGTGAGATGGGTTGACAAAATGTTATGCGATATGTTGCAAAACAGTTCACTATAGTACCACAATATTATTTAATCCAACGATGACATAATTTGAAACACACACTGGACGTTTAGCAACCAATAATCAATCAGTCGTAAATTGAAATGGTATGATGATTCCGAATATGATGTCTCCGAAAGAGCAAATGACAATTTTTCAGCAAAACACTTTCCGACGTAGTGTGGTGCAGATAATAAGCAGAATAATCCACAATAAATTATTTTGAAAGAAGAATCGGGGAATCTTTTACGGTGTAACATCATCTAATATTTCACTTTAAGACAATAACATTAACGGTATCAATATTTACTGCACCAGATGCATGCTTCTAACATGATTTAATTAATGTGTAGTTCAAATAAAACTTACAGTTGCAAGATGCCAATATCGTCCTAACCTGGTTTTATATCACAGGCAGCGGAAACTATGTTTTAAATGTGCAAAGGTTACACGTTACAGCGATTATGATGGGGTTCCAAGAGGGAATTTTTAATGAGGCCATACAGTTGAACATGTTGAAGTTTGAGAAATACAAAATAAACATCAATCCCAAACAGTTAGATTAATACACATTTCATACATTTAAAAACTCTTATGTTTTAAGTTTGCACATTTACATTCATTTGTAAAAGTATGTAGGTCTTTTTGAATAGATAAAATTGGATTAAAATTCAGATATATCGTAACTCGTGTACTCGTCATATATGAGCATAACGAATTTTAATTAGATTGTGAACACAAAAAGATAATATACCAGATTTAAGATATATTTCAATCACAAAAATGACAAAATTAATTAACTTATTTGAATGCGAAAAAAAAGAAGAAAAATTAGCCGCATATATATCATATACATTGTTATAGCTAATCATTAGGGTGTCATGGAATAGAAGTTACTGTATATTATTAGTCCCAAATGAGAGAAATATTCTAGAATATTAATTCCACTGAAATATTACAGTATTTGATCCGAGCAGAATACATGGAATAAAGGGTATAGAATATTAAAATGTTGTTCCAAAAGGAACAGTTATTATGGCATTATTTATAACAAAGATTCCAGGGGAACTTCTGTTAGAAGGGAACAAAATGAAATGACAAAGGAAATGCACATCTTATTTTTATGCTTGTTCATTTGAGATTTACTTCTCTATTTTTAAGACTCACAATATGAAAAAACAAGTTCTACACTAGCTGTTAAACTGTCAACTGACAAAATGTCTGTTTTGTCCTGCACTTAACGGTACCAGTAAACAATTATTTCTTTTTATCATTTTCGCAACAACGGCAACAAATGTGTCTTACGGAAGATCGTATGTCAACATCAAAAAGCCACAAATACGGACGTGCCACTGATGGTATCAGCGATAGTATATACACGTACTGTCGTAACGCATCATTTGTTGTTCTAGTCTCGTTTTCAGAAAGACAATCGGGAGAACAGAAATACAGAACACTGTGCGGTATTGTGCATACAACCGTGACAATCGTCACTATAATCACTACAATGCTGGATGACATCAACTTCGTGTCGTCCACGGAAACTGCCGAGTGATTTGTCTCGTTCTCGTTGTCTTCAATGTCTTGTATGGTCTGACGTTTTCTATAACGGTAAATGACCAAAATGACGAGAAGAAGCAAAGCTGGAAGAAAAATGGTATTAAGAAGAATTTCAGAGACGACTACGGCTAGAATTTTCTTCTCTTTATAGTCCTTCGAAGGCTCACAAAAAGCGTATTTATCATCTGAGACGGTAAAATTTTGAAATGATACGATGTTGCTTCGCACAAGGATTGGGATAAGTCCAAAATAGACTCCGGCAAATGGTAATAAAAACAGAAGCACGTGGCAACTAATAAAGCAACATCGTTGTTTCAAAATAGATTTCAAGATACGATCAGAACATAACGAACACAAAGCTAATGCGATGAACATGAGATGGGTTGACGAAATGTAATGCGATATATTGCAAAACAGTTCACCATAGTACCACGCTCTTCTTTCATCCAACGATGACATAATCTGAAATGGGAGGATGATCCCGAATATGATGTCTCCGACAGAACAAATGACAATTTTCCAGCAGAAGACTTTGTTACGTAGTCTGGTGCAGACGATAAGCATTATAATCCACAAGTTTGACAGAAGAATAAGGGAATTTATTACGGTGTAACATATCCCTAATATTTCACTTGAAGATATGTCGTCCTCGTGGTTATAGTTGGTCTTTTTATCGCCTCCATTTAACAAATTTCCAAAGAAATCATCCCATCTGGACGACTTTTTATTTGAAGTCATACTGCTTAAGAATATCCGTCTGAAAAAGATCATCCATTAAAAAACCGCTTACACAACAAAAGACTATTTTCTAAAGTAAAAATATTTCAGATAAATCAAAACATATACAAATCAAATCTAGTAACGACCATTATTCACTGATTTAAACTGCTTAGTCGCCTCAGGATTGATTCTACATCTTTATCCTTTTCTGTTGTTTCATCTTTTAAAAGAGATAGCTTAAATTTTCAAATTCCCAAATCTTTCATTTATAAGACATAATTTAATGAAATTCGCATCTTGATTATTAAAATGGTTACAGTTTATAATGCTATAAATTAATTATAAATAGGTTAAAAAAATCTGCTATTACATTAATTGTTAATTCCAATGGGCATCACAAGTCTAATAGTAAAAGAATGCAGACACACGAACATATTGTTTAAAATAGATATCAGAACTTAATGATAATTTCTTAACTATTAGATCTGGTTTCTTAGTTTTCTTTAGTCGGAATGGATTCCATTCTTTTGTGTTTTCGGTTAGCGCCACTCTTCATTGTTCTCCAATATTGTGGCCTCAAACATCAATGAGAAGACATAGGATAAAATACTAAAATGTGAATCAACATTTGTTTACCGGTTTAAAAAAAATAAGAAGCCACCTTTTTTTCCCCTATTATATTGGGAGATTTAAACTTCGAGTCTGTGACGCTAAACCAAACTTTTTTCTAAAGAATATTAAGGAGGAAATCTGTAAATTTTAGTTTGACTTGAAGGGATTTTGATAAGAACCGGTTTTGCTTTTCAAAATAAAAGTAAGATGTGGTATGATTTCTAATGAGACAACTATCCACCAAATTTCAAACGAAGTGGATGTAACCAATTATGGACAACCGTACGGCCTTCGACAATGAGAACAATTAATACGTATAGTCGGCTATAAAAGACCCCGACATGAAAAATATGAAACACAATTCAATTGAGAAAACTAACGGCCTTATTTATAACAGAACAATTAATGAAAAACAAATATGACAGACATGAACCAACGACAACCACTGAACTACCAGCCCCTGACTTGGGACAGGCACCTATAGAATGTGACGGGGTTAAACATGTTTGAAGGCGCCAAACCTCTCCCTAACCAGGGACAGCTTGTTTTGTTTAAAATTCAGGGTTCCCGATTATTATGATATCAAATATCTGTTATCAAAACATCTCGTTTATTACAAAACGTGTGACATGACAGAGCATCATAAAGACAATATAAACGTATACATACTTAGCTTTAGCGGTTCCCGATTGTTTTGATATCTTAATATCTTTTATCGTACAAAACGTGTGACACGAAAGAGCATCATATCGATAATATAAACGTATACATACTTTAGCGCATACGGCGCGTGTTTCTAGAATAACCACCAGAAACACGTGTGCGCATAAAGTATGGGAAGCCATACACAAAGGTTGTAAACATCTTAATCAAATAGAATGGTTAAAGAAAGAATTTGGTGTATCAATTGAAATAAAGACACAAAATCACTACATGCTCGTGAAAATAACCAAAAATCAAGGAACAGCGCTATTATTTTGTTCTTCATCCCAAAATCACAGTGGGGCTTTCAAGATGGAGCAAAATCTCTCACCTCACTCTTATTTCTAGACGGCCCCTATATCAGCGGTTGAGTGGAATTCTTTATATACTAGATGTCGATCACACAACGTCTGTGCATTGAAGAACACATGTGTGTACATTATAGGCGTGCTATTTAGAAACCCTAAAATTATGTTACTTTTAATAATCAGCCCATCATTTGACTTTTAAAGCTTTTCTGAGCTTTGATTTACCAAAATGTAAGAAAATATGAGAGATTACTTCTCACAAAAATTAGAATTATTGCGAATTCACTTAATTGCTATTGAAACGGGGAGATGCAATAAACAAAAAGCAACTGAAAGATTGTTCAAATTTTGTGGAGATAAAGTGGAAGATGAAGTGTACATCCTTTTAATTTGTTCCCTTTAAGAAAACCCACGAGAGAAGATTATTGTTTTCAAAAATTTGATTAAAGAGGATGATATCAAATCATATATATATTTACATAATCCAAATAATTATGTTAATGTAAAACACATATGTAATTGTTTGAAACAAACTTTTGAAGTTCATAATAACGCTTAGTGTCAGTTGGTCTCCCATAAGTTATGGAAGAACTATACGAAAGAATTTTTTTTACTTTTTCTGCATTATATTTTTTTTACATCATTTGTCATGTTGTATATGTCATGTTTGTAGTACACATGGATTACGCAATGTCATATTTATTAAATGTGCTTTATCCAATAATTGATTTGATTTGATTTTTGCTCAAGAGAAAAGCTATATGAGAACGTTGAATTTACAGTACATCGTGAATAGTTATACAAGAGATTTTCTATTGTCAACAATACAACTTACCTCTTACAAGCTCTGTTGAAGTAAAAAAGCGAGAAAAACGTTTGAACTGCAACCGAAAGATCTACCAAAATGTTGTCATTAAACAGGTTTTTGATATTATAAACTACTTTCTAGACTAAAATGCAGCGGAAACAGTTAAGTAAATGACACTACTTCTGTCATTATTCAATAGACTAAATTGGATAGGTTAAGGTCAAATGATAATGATTTTGTTGCATCCAGATCTCATTTCAAATAATGAGAATCATTATCAATTTACCCACATTTTATGGGATGATTTCTAATCATCGTCTACGTCTTCTGTGTGAAAATGGTTCGCAATAATATAACCATCACCGTGACGACAATATGGTGTGTTAAGCACTGACCGTATGGTTTATTTCTCGGGACAAAATTTTGTTTTACTTCAATGTAAATAAACTACATCAACCTTACAATTCTTACCATTCGAATGAAACAAATCTATTTTCAACTATATATCATTTAAAATTTACGGATAATGCAAATTGAGGCACATAAAAAGAAGACCCCGAAAGAGAGAGAGAGAGAGAGAGAGAGAGAGAGAGAGAGAGAGAGAGAGAGAGAGAGAGAGAGAGAGAGAGAGAGAGAGAGAGAGAGAGAGAGAGAGAGAGAGAAAACGAGAGAGAGAGAGAGAGAGTAAACGATATGTTCAGTAATAAGGAAACACCATGACCATAAATGACGACAAGACAACAAACAACAATAACAAAACATAACACAAAACACTAAAGATTGAACAACACGAATCACACCAAAAACGGGAGGCAACTCATGTGTTCCGGTAGTATCATCAGTTCCTGACTTTCATAATGGTCGACACGATCCGGTTTTTGTTTGGATTCTGTTCAGTCTTCAGTTTCTATGAAGTGTTTGTGGACATTTGGTTGTTTTTTCGTCATTTTCTTTAAGCAATTATTTGTACTGCATTTCGTTATCAGTAAAATTTGTATTCCGATTACTTCCCTTTGAACATTAAACTGAAATGTATACGAAACTTGAATCTTGTATGAATGGATTGTTTAGGGTTATAGTTCTACAATTTGAATTGCATATTAACATTAAGATATATGTTTTTCTGATTTTCTTTAATTATTCGATGCAGAGCGTATCCAGGTTTCGACATTAAAGTGAAAGGAAAAAGGGGGCGATCTGAATTAAATTTTCGACGTTTTTATTACAAAAATATATATGTTTAATAATTTAAGTAGGGGTTGCAACGGGTGCCCCCTTCCCCCCTCCGAATGCAACCCTGCGATGCATGTGTTAATTTTCATTAAACAAGATAATGTTAACGTACACAAATGTAGCACATAGCTGTTGACTTTTGTATTTTTTTTCATTCCAACCACACATTGGAGAAATTAGAGCTTGAAAAAATGGTCAGTTGAAATATTCATTATTTAATGTTCAACGGATGCCATTACACATGTGTAACTTTGTCACTATGTTCTAATATTAATTTAAACGAATGTATAGAAGGGTGAATGGAATATAAGAATATGGTCACTTTGGTCTTCTTCCGACCTGCAGTAATACCCTTGACAAACATATTTATCATAAAAATATACATGAAATAGATAAACAAACAACAAATACATAAATAAATAAATAAATAAATAAATGAAATAATGAAAAAGATAAATTGTAATTCAATGAAAACAAATAATAACATTTTCAAAAAAACAAAACTTAACAAAACCAACTAATATACGAAATACTAGCTGTATTATGATTGGCAGTTTGACGGTCTTTTGGGAAACAACAAATGGATGTCCCCTTTTAAAACTCGTTTGAATTGAAAACATTGAATAAAGTTTTGTTTTAAGCGGGTGCAGACCTAGAGACTTTATAGTAGATCACATCTGTTATTTTACTCTTATCTAACTTACATGGATGTATAACAACGGATAAATTATATAAAACGAAGAGTGGGGATGAAATGAACTTGTTTCTTTCAAAGTTCTAAATTGGTGACCGATAATTAAAATTGACAGAAAATATCGATATGAAGTGTTATATATGTAGAAATCTAGATATTTTGTTCGTCAAAACCATAAATTGCGTGTCTGTAAATTTTACAAATGAAGCGTATGCCGACTAAATGCACGCAACATAAGCTACAATGAAACGTCTTAAGCCCTATGAATATAGAGAGCTAGAAAAAACTATATATTTTTAAAATGTTCCTGTATCTTGGTAAGGTGAATAAAAAAGTCAGGGTGGCAACTTTTTCGTATGAAAACAAAACTATCGACACGGGAAAAAACTGTATATAAAAACCTAAAAATATTTAAAGGCCACATTTTTATGTACATTAACAGTTCAGAAATCGAAGAAAAAGGAGGTCATTACCCAGTAACATATTAATATATTCTTACCGAATAATCAATGAAACTTATATAAGGAAACCACAAACGATTGGTCAAATAACTTATCACGAAAATCTATGCTTATAAAAACAAAAACAATCTAGATTCGAGAGTGTAAGGCAATAATACCGTCATCAATGTCGTTACAATGTATTCTTTGCAGTTCGACAGGGATGTCATATATTACTTTATATCTATAAGGCATTCGTAAATAATGCCGACATATATTTTTACGATCAATAATTTAACATTTTGTCAGTAATGTTAACATATCGCAAGAAATTTCGACTTCCTACAGTTCTTCTTGAGGAACTTAAGAATAAATCCAATGATTGTAATATAAAGTGTCCAACATGAAAACATGTCTTCTAAAACTTTTGTATAATTCTTAATTGAGTATATGTTGAGGCCTGAAATGATCAGTGAAAATAACATTTTATAAATATCGTGTGCGTTTATTCATTTCGCGCGTTTTTCTGGATTTACCTTGATTAGAAACGCCCAAACTTTAAAATTTGAAAGATACATAGACACGTTAGGAGCTATGTGACCAAAAGTGACCTAATATACTATAAATCAACTATTATGATTATTTCATAGTGATAGTTGACACGTTCAAGGTCTGCTTGTATGCGACAACTCTTATAAAATATGGACAAAGATTGACATTTTAATTCTCCCTGTCCATCAATGGATTTTATTCAAACTGGGTTATTTATTACGAGTTACACGTCAATGTATTTAGGGAAGACAAAATACAAACATAATAAATGAAACGAAGGTCGATGAAAACTGAATTATTTGATATATATTAATATATTTTCTTTTCTGTTTGTCAGACATTTTTATTGTTATGGACAATATATTATATTGTAATAAATATATATTTCATTATTGAATGGACAGAGAATGTCGAGGTTTGACTGCAATAAAAAAAATTATGAATACTTTTCATTCCGTTATTTTTTTTAATACTTAGTTTTTCTAAATTTGGAATACATCAAACCTTCATTTGCAGTCAATTTCAAACTGCAGCACTTAATATTATAGAAAATCAGGTGAATGTGTCATTATTTAAATAGCGTGGGAAAAAAATCACTACTCAATCAATCAATTAGTCAATAATCAATCAATCATTAAACCAAACAATCAATCACCCAATCAATGTTTACCTGAATAATCTAAATAAAGGTCAATTGTACAATGGGGATAGTGAGTATTTTACCACTGTCAGTTGAATCAGGACTTCGGGAAAGTTCAGAGCCAACGACCTTGCTTCGGAACTTGATCCAGGACATGTTATCATTCTAGCTGATAGAACCATATCATCATCATTAAGGCAACCGATCAGAACCGATGTTTATTTATTAAAAATTTCAAGATCGCGTAAATATCGAACCAAACCAATGAAATTCATAGCTTTACACCGTGACACTTTATAGCAAATTAAACCAGTAACAGCGAAATTATTCATTCATCGGGTATCGGATCTGATCTTGAATACCCCCATGCATACTGCAAATTTTCCGTATTTGATATCTTCTCCTGTCCGATACATGTTTCCAATGCTATTTCTTATTCTAACCAATAGAATCTTTCCCACATCTTAAGGCAACTAATGAAAATCTATGGAAAGCCTCAGCTGTCATATATTAGAGATTTACAAAACGTTATGCTGAAGTTTAAAATGTAAAGTTAAGACAGCGTGATGTTGAATTGAGTCATCAAAATGCTAACTCTAAATTACAATATGCTTAGTTGAATCTGCGCAATGTTGACTTGCAATGACAAGTGCTTTAGTCGTGATAGTATAATGATAAGTCACGATGTTGTGATGATATGCCAAACACACGGAACGTTGGGTTTAAAGTACTTGATGTGAAGTTGACGTTGCATGATGTTAGCTTGCAGATGGATACTGCTCAGTCATCCACATCGACAGCTATGATAACAAATAAAATGAATAGCTAAAATGTATGGTGCTGACTTGATATTAATTAATGTTGAGCTGAGATAGTACGATGTTATATCATTGTGATATTACGATTGGTCTATCATGCAATCTGTTGATTTAAAACACCATGAAGCACAGTTGAAAGTACATGATGTTAAGTTAAGATAACACGATGCTACACCACTATATTGAAACGAAAGGCTTACCATACAATTTGTTGACTTAAAACAACACGATGCAACGTGTTAAGCTAAGATGCTCACTTGAAACTACAGGACGTACAGTTGAAAGTACGTGATGTTGAGCTATGATAGCAATATCTTATATCATAATGATATCACGATAGGCTTGCCATACAATATGCTCATTTAAAACTATACGACGTACAGTTGAAAGTACGTGTTGTTCAGCTAAGACAGCACGATGTTATATCATTATAATGTCACGATAGGCTTATTACACAATTTTCTCATTTAAAATTACACCACGTACAGCTGAAAGTACGTGATGTTAAGCTTAGATAGCACGTTGTTATATCATTAGAATGTCACGATAGGCTTGCCATACAATATGCTCAGTCAAAACTACACGACGTACAGTTGAAAGTACGTGTTGTTGAGCTCAGATAGCACGATGTTATATCATAATGACGTCAGGAGAGGCTTATCATACAATGTGTTGACTTGAAACTACACGATGTAAATTTGAAGAAGTTTGGTCTTGACTTGAAACAGTAAAATGTT